AGGTTTCCTTTCGTGAGAAGACGTCATGATTCAACAAGGTAATTTTATGACTTTGCGGTAGAATCCATAGAATTTATGATCGTTTAGTAATATAGTTGTTACATTTTGTCATGCATTTACAAAGTTGATTACAGTCTGTATCTTACACAGATGTCTGAAAAAATAAAATTTTTAAACTCATCTTTAAACGTATTTCCTGACTATTGCATTTGAAAACAATACTGAAAGAGATCTAGTTCATAGTTGTCTAACTTCGAATCAGAAAGTATTGGTCGAGTAAATCAATATTTCTTTTGTAAAGATATTAACAATTTTAATAGTAGTTTATAGGAATCGATAAAGTCAGTGATTAACATCAGCTATCCTAAATAATCAGCAAAAGATCTATAATTATTAATGTATTATTATAATGTTTGGAAGCACTTCCTAAAAGGATCCGTTAAATGTAAACATTGCCCAAAATGGCGATGTTTACGTTCAAAATTCAAAGCTGAATTCACTTTCATATACCGTGGAAATGAAATAAAAGCATGAACTAACAGGAAATCCTTAAGCCCCTCCCCTCCCCCTAAAATGAGTTTATTGTTCAATTGTAGAAGGAGTCTAAGTGTATTATTTGCCATTATATTTTAAAACATCAAGGACTATTTTGTTTTATTTATGTTTTGATAAGTAAAAGGATTGTTGGCATGAATTTTTTGTTAGCACATGATAAAATTCAGGGCTAATCTTTGGAATATGTAGTAATTTTTTGCTAGTCTAGTAATCACTAAGTATTGCTTACTGGAAATGTAATACATATATTAAAAGCCACAGAATTTTTCCCGTAATGGTGTAACAACCCAAATTTGTACAGATGTTTTGGTAAATTTGATGATTACTATCCCCATCGAAAAGTTGCAAATTCCTTGTCAGATTTGGAGAGCATCCATGAACTTGTTCACAGCTTCGGAGTGAAACATTTGTTTGGGCATATTTTGTCTCAATGGTGTAGCCATACCACCTATTTTTTTTTTTTTTTTTTTACATTTTTCTTTTTACAAATCGGGCACGCATGTTTGTCGGTATTTTATGCTGTAGTTTTCCACAGTAATTCGTTTTTCTAAAAAACATTAGAGGATTACACAAACTCGGCATTGCACATAGCTTTAGCATCAAGATTCTAAAATGTGGAGGAAAAAAAAGGTGCATACCTTTTAATGAGCCACAGATAAAATCCTAATATATGGTCCGTCCTTGGCATGGTTTTGAAAATTGTCACCAACACCAAAATTACCTGTTTACTGCTCATCATAATGTCGCCAAATCTTGTGTGTACCATATATAGTCAAAAGTCGTTAATCCGGACTTGTCGGGACTTTGGCGATTCCGGATTATAGATCATCAGTTTAAATCTGGTAAGATGGCATGCAGAAATTATAAAATTAAAAATATGAAACCGTAATTTATGAAATAAAGAACAATTATGATCTAAAGGGTATCAAAATTACAAAAAAAAAAAGCTTAATATTATTTGTTTACTTTATTAAACATTTCTTTCAATGTAAGTTGTTTAAGTTGCTTCATTTTATGTGATAATACTTTCTCTTTGATTCTATAAACAGACATAATTTCTTGTTAAGTTACAAAGTTCCGCTGTTCAAGTCCTATAATTACTGTGTTGAGAACACCGACTAATTTGTCAATCGAAATTTTTTCGTTTTCAATAACCTCTGTGTCACTTTCTTCACTATCGGAAGCGAATTATAATGACAAGGAATTTGATTTAAATCATATCAAAGACGGAGTACATCGAGATGAAATACTACATTTAGTAAGGAATTATAAGCCAAATAAAATAAAAACATCTGCCCTGAAGATAAGAATAGTGCTGACAGATCAATTTCCAATTTATTGCGCGCTGCGGCATTTACCCCCCCCCCAGCCGCACAGCAGCGTGAAATTGATAAACAGATTTCGGAATGGTTAGAGAAATGAAGGCTATGCCTTTATCTATTTTTTTCAGCAATTATACTTTCAGCAAACATACTTTCGCTTTGTAGATCCTTTACATATTGGTAAATATATATCGGAAACTCTATTTGACATAATCGAAAGTTCAAACTTACTTTTATAGAATTGCTCTAACAGTCTGCAAAAAATAATAAGCCGGATCCAATTCAAAGATTAAGGAACAATGCAATCTGCAACATTAACTGAATTAGATAATTTTAGCTTAGCTTATACTGTCTGTTATACATTAAACGTGCATGCGTAAACGTATTATGTGCATGCGCACACGCATATTCGCAGCCATAAAGGTCTTACGTCATCTGTGCATGCATCGTTCTGACACATGCGCAGAAATCATGCGCAACGCGATGCATGCGCAGAAAGTTTGTAGCTTTGAGGTCCGGATTATAGATCATTCTGGATTATGGGTGTCCGAATTAACGACTTTTGACTGTACTAGGTTATATGTAAACCAACCTTAATTATGGCCTATGCCTGTAGAAAGCTAAGCCAGAAATTTTGTTGAAGATAATGAAAACTGCAGTGTGTGGCTCATTGCTGTGCTTAAGCACTGAAATTCTCATAGGAAGGATCATAATCTACATGCATATTAGTGAACATGTCTGGAAAAGTGGAAAGCCATCTGGGGGGGGCGATGGTGCACTTACCTTGACTGCCAAATAAATACTATTGGTATTTATGTGGTTAATACATAATTACTTTTACCTTATATTATTTTCACATGATTACTATACCTTTTAAATCATAGGTTAATACATAATTACTTTTTTGAGATGGTGGGTTGTTTCATAAATACTTTTTCATGTCTTTTTAGTGTGGGTGTGGAAAGTACCGATGATTTTTTGATAATAGCCTTAATGTACAAATTGCACATTTTATCATATTTAGCTGATATTTATGGAGAGTTAAATGAGATAAATTTAGGATTACAAGGATGAAGTGTTAATTTGTTTACCATTAAAAATAAAATAAATGCAATTATAAAAGGAACTCGAGCTAATAATAAAGAATTGAATAATAATATTTTAAGCTTTTCACCACATTTAGGAAGATAAAAACAATTTAGAAATTTTTCTACAGAAAATAATTTGAAAATAAAAGAAGAATTAGTATCTGACATTAAAAATCATTATATTTATTGATAAATAATTTCAACACTTACTTTCCCGAGTATTATGAAAATGAAAATTGGATTAGAAATCCATTTTGTTCAAACATACCTGAAATTTTATCTCGTGAAGGAAAAGAACAATTCATAGAAATTTCCTGTCATCGAACTGAAGATTTCAAAAATAACACACTTGCAAACTTTAGCTGAATTTAAAAAGAAATTTAAAAAAAAATTAAAGGTGCATTGTGCATTTCAAATAAAGCTATTAAATTTTTATTGCCTTTTTGCAGAACCTGTTTGTGTGAACAGAGATTTTCTTCTATGTCATATTTAAAAAATAAATACAGAACAAAATTAAAAGTGGATCCTAATTTATGGTCTATGCCTGTAGAAAGCTAAGCCAGAAATTTTGTTGAAGATAATGAAAACTGCAGTGTGTGGCTCATTGCTGTGCTTAAGCACTGAAATTCTCATAGGAAGGATCATAATCTACATGCATATTAGTGAACATGTCTGGAAAAGTGGAAAGCCATCTAGGGGGGGGGGCGATGGTGCACTTACCTTGACTGCCAAGTGAAGTAAGATCAGATATAAAGAAATTGATCTCTCTTAAACAGGCCCAAATTTCGCCTTAAATTTTAGAATTAAAGTATTATAACTTAAATTAAAATCTTAAAAATAAAAATAATAATAAAAAAAAAAAAAGCTTTCATATTTTATATTATGTACAAAGGGGCCTTTTTTTTTTTTTTTTTTTAATTTTGTTTTGTATGTTACCTTTATTTATTAAATATCATGTTCTTTGCACTTAAACCATAAAATTTAATTCAACAGCAATATTTCAAAATAATTTTTAAAAAGGGCATATCTTTAGAATTTCCGATAGGGTTTCGCGCGCTAGAAATAATTTTTTTTTTTTTTTTTTTTTTTTTACAGTGTTCCCATTGCTTGCTTTGAAATCATTGAGTTTCTTAATCAAAAATTCAATAAAGTTTTTACAAAATATGAAATAGATAATAAAACAGATTCCAAATTTCAAGTTTCCCATATTCTAGTGGAGGACAACTTATTGAAAATTTGATGTCTCTAGGTACCATTGTTTTTTCCATAGTGCGAGAAAAATACGTACATTCATGCGGATTCTTCATTATTTAATTTCTTTAAATATAATGCTTTAAATATAAATCTAATATTTGGTGGCAATAATTTGAAAAATTAATCGGCATTTATAATGAACCGACGCAAAATGAAATTAATAGTCCTTCTGGGTTAACGGTAATTAAAATGGTAAACAATTTTTAATCTAATATTTTTAATAAGTGCATCTTTAATACAAATAGCCAATAAGCTGTGCAAATGGAAAAAAAAAAAAAAGTTTTAATATTTCGATTGAGAAATTGAGAAGTAATCATTGGAAAATAGTGTTGATACTAAAGATTTTCAGTTTTTGTTTAGATGGTACGCATTAGTCAAAAGGTTGAAAACCGCCGCATTAGACTGATTAGTTTCTACAGGAAGTTACTGTCTGTCTACGGTAAGAACAGCTCCCGCCACGGTGTCTGGCGAGTGGCGGTCGCTATAGCAACAGGGCTAGTATATTTCAAATAGGGACGAACCAAGGGTTGCTTTATTGTTATTTTGTTTTTGGTGACTGTTGGCTTAAGGGAAGTTTATCATTCGTCTTCTCGGCTTCATTCCAGCTGCACGCATCTTTTCTTAAGCCTTATATTATTACTATTAGCTCTTTTATTCTCGTTGTTATATCATTTGTGCTAGCATTTGCTCAAATTCGCTCTATTTAGCTTGATTTTCGCAGTGCTTTGTTAATCGCCAATTTTTTAAATGCCCTTCCAGTTTAAGAAAGGTCACCTTTAAAGTCTCAGTCACGTCAAATCGTGTATAGTGTCGCAGAATTTTGCGCTTCTGAAGTTCGGCGAACTCTTTAGTAGTTCCTCTTCCTTAAGTTTTGAAGAGCGAAGTATCAACAATGGGTGAAAATAAACTTCTGAATACACTGGGAAAAATGTAAAAGCCCTGCTAATCATAAATGTGAAAATTACGATTTTGACAATGCGTTCTACGGCAACAATACAAGACTTTTACATCAAAGAAAGAAAGTGCCATCTGTGCAGAAATTACTGCCTGTCTTGAGGTAAAAAATTAGACTTCCCGTGGCAAAAAAGACTCTTTGTGCAAAGTTTTGCATTCAATGAATTTTCGTTGGAATGCGTAAGAAAAAAAAAAAAAAACAAAAATAAAAGAAAAATTCTTATCGAAAGGCCCTCACATTATATTTTGGAGGAACAATTATTTACGCGAAATGAGGAAACTCAGAGGCAAGTGAACGAACGCCACATTGTTTACATCGATGAAACATGGGTTGATAGCAATTTAACTTTTAAGAAATTTTGGCAACATGATATACGGTTTTGGGCGCACAGCCAGTTTCCCTTAGCAAGCCCTCCATGGAGGCATCCCTCCTCTTAGGCCTGGAGGCTTTGCGTAATCATATAAACCAACCCAAACCACTGGTAATTAAGGAAAAAGCAGTTTTGATTTTAATTCACCTTCGCTTCCTTCCGCCATTAAATTAACCAGCTTTCGGTTTAGTTTAAAGGTATGAGAAAAGAAGAAATGTTCGCAAAAAGTATTTATTGAGAGCATGGGTATGTAAAAAAATGCTTTTACTTTCAAGATGATTCTATATACATTTAATGATGAAATTTTTAGTCATTATTAAAGCACAAGCAATAAATTAACAGAAAATTTTGAAATAAAACATAGCAGAACGTCATTTAAAGACTGAAAATTGCTGAAATGTTCACGGTAGATCAGCTAGAGGGGAGAACTATAAAAATTAAATTTATTTTATATTTATGAAGTGCGTCTATACTATATAAAGAGAATGGGGCAATCAAGTAGATTTCTAAGATGTCATCTATGATTTTGCAAGCAAACAAATAACAAAAAAGAAGCAAAATAATAGCATGATTTTTTTAAATGTCGAAATTAAAATTTTTCTTCAAAATAAACACACGGATTTTTAAATTTATTTCCCTACAAGTTTATTTTTACTCATTGTACATCTAGAGGGATTGCAAATTTAGCGACTTGTACCTCACACGGCAAAATCAAAGACCGTTTTCTTGACTGCAAAAGCTTTATCTACGCCATCGAATTTTCATTTTCGGAAATTGGATGTAGGGGGTCGACGCAAAGGGTCAACAAGCATTTTTTACTTGAAACTAAAACAAAATGTGAATATCGCCAAATCATCTTTAAAATGCGCCAAGGTGGCAACTCAGAAGTAAGTCTTCAAGACACCCCTACGAAAAATGGGTTAGGGCTCGTTTCTACGGCAACAGACAGCTGCAGACAAACTGGCGAGAGCTGTTCTTACCATAGACAGACAGTACACAGTCTTGTGAAAATCTGTAAGATATCAATATGTCTAATATAATGGAGATCATTTAAAAGACGTTATATTCTAATATACATGGATAATAGTCTGAGCATATTTTATTAATTATTTTTATTTTATTATAAGTTATTACACAAATTTTAAAATTAACCTCCCAATTATTTTCACTTGAGTTTCCAAACTGTACAGATTGATACACTAGTGTAGTTATTGTAAATAAGTAATACATCAAGTTTCTTCACAGCATGTTCTTCTATTTTATTTTGAAAATCTTCTGCAATTTTTGCCAATCCTATATTTTGTAACTTGAAAATATAAAATACAATATTTGTAGTTGAAAAATGTTAAATGGGCATTATTATTTATACTAATGTAAGTACTGCATATAATTTCACATTTGTGTTGGAGTTTTGAAAGCAAGTAGTTGTTTTAAAAATAGTATAAACATTAATAGTTTTATTAGAAATATTTGTTTGTGTCATAAATTCTATGCTTATTTTCTCATCTTATATCAACACTTTAATAGTGTGCAAATTAAAATTTCAGAATTTATTTGTATATCTTCTCTTTTAACACAGAAAATCGACCAGAACTGTACGAAGAAGTTAAACTTTACAGAACTGCAAGAGAGAGAGAGAAGTAAGAAAAATATGTTATTTTTATAATGTTGTTATGACTTATCTCACTTGTCTGAGAATGACAATAGCAAGTACGGGACTGTATCTGTCATTGACATGAACCTTCGGCATTTTTATAGGTAACAGAGCGACTTTGCCCAGTATTGAAGGAGAGTCCCTTGTGGGGAGTGGGCAGCCCTTCCCTGCTATCAAACCACTTAACATTAACTTAACAAAGAGGACATTTATTTAGATTTAGATTTTCTAGAATGTTTTATAAATTAAGCAATAAAATGTATAGATAATGTTGCCTAATACGAAAACTTGAATAAAAGTAGTTTATCAAATTTGTTATATAATATCACTGTATTCTGGCCATTCCTATTCTTTTATTAATTTTAAGGGCTATTTTCATTTTAAAAGACGCTTGGTCGCCCTCTAGCATGAAGAATTATGACTTTTTATTAATGAATTGCTAATTTTTCCAATTTCAACTACTTTCGACCAGATTAGCACTTTCTTAGAGTTTAGACATTTTGTTTTTCAACTTCACTGTCTTCACAACAAAGTTCTGAACAAGACGTCATCTTCGTAAAATAGCTTATATCATTTACCCACCTGCCACCCCTAACCAAAAAGACAAGTTCTTTTCCCCTTTGGCCGTTGCTTACCATTGGCTATTGCCTTTTTTCGTCAGTTTCCCCCTTCTATGAAGCTAATTTCACTACTTTGCCTATCTGGTTACATTTCTTTAAGCTGCATTTTATAGCAACCCTGTGCAATTATTTTGATCATTTTATGTTTTGCAGACCACAGCTTTGAACGTAAGTAAATTTCGTCCTTATTTTGTTTTGTTCTTTGGTCTTTGCAAGACCCATTTCAGTACATATTTATTATGTCTCTTTTGGTTCTTCTCCTTAAAAAGTTTATAATTTTCTAATTAGAGGGTTTTCCCTTAAAATTGTGTAATTTCTAGACTAATAGCTTTTAAAGCTATTTATTTTTTTGTACATTTACCTAACTAGGCTTTCGTGTATATATTTTTTGTTGTTTAATAGTACGTTTTACATTTACAATTTAAATCACAGCTCGTCAATAGCCTTTTAGCTATTTTATTTTAATTGTACCTTTGCATCACTTAGCTAACTTGTGTAACTTTTTCTAGTTTAATAGTAGGTTTTACATTTTCAATTTAATTGCGACGTGTCGGTGAAAAGAGTGATACAATTGAGACTTAACAAACTTTTTTTAGATCATAAAGTTGGAATTTTCTAATAGTAAAATTGAATTTATAGTCTCAATTATTATTGTTTTATGAAACACACTATAGGTATTAACTTGATTTGAATTTTGAGCTGCTTTTACCTTGATAAATCTGGCATAAAACCTTGAGTTAAGCTATTTACCATTTGTTGCAATTTTTTGTACATATCGTATGTTTTTGTAATATGTTTTATTTTTACAACAGTTCTTTTATAATTCTTAGTGCGTTAAAATTTATTAATTTTTTCTACCCCCCCCCTTTTTGAATTTAAAGTCCACTCGACTTGTAATTTTAACATTTAGTTTTTACGAGTTTGCTTTTACTACTTTATTATTGTTTCTAGATGTTGAATGATTTTACGTTTTTGCTAAGGAATTATAGAGTCAAATGAATTTTTTAGTTCATATGTTCCTTTTCTAAAATTAAAAAAAAAATTTGCAGCTCAATGCACAAAATTCTTGACCATTAAGGTCTCTCTAATTCATGTTAACTTGCTACTTATATATACATGCATTATAACTACACACTTAACAGCTAAATAGGCTGACTGCATTCATCTCCTGTAACTAGTATAAAATCCTTTCCCCTGGTTGAGAACCCCTGTACTATTATACATTTTCAAACATTCAGGCTTTCTGCAGGATTTGAATCAAGATACAGCAGTGAGTAATGCTAACCTCTAATTGTTGATATGATGAAAAAAATATGAAATATTAATTTCCAAAATATTATGCTAGTTTTAGCTTAATTTGTTTTGCGTAATGGTGTAAGTTTGTCATAGAAAATTTCTCGCAATTTGCATTAAAATATAAGCTAGTTGTTATATAATTTGTAATTTTATTCCATTTTGTATTTAGGATATTTCCAAATAGTATTTCTTTTTGGTTAATATTCATTCATAGTTCATTGTATTGCCAAATTCTTGTTTAAAATCATAAGTTCTTATCAATTTACCAACGTTTTTAGGTATGGGATAATATATATCTCTTTTATACAACTGTTTAATAGAAAAGTAATCATTAAAATATGATGATTCCTTAAAAAGAATCATTATGGTTTAAGTTTGAGTTGAAATAATTTTTTTCTTGATCGAAATATATATTTTACTATATATTAATACAATAAAATCTCTACTGTGTCTCTGTGAGCTGTCTTTGTTAACTGAACTGGTAATATCCCCCCAAAAAAGTCATTTAGAAAAATGCATTTGACATTAGAAAGAGTACAATGAAAATTACTAGCATTTACAAATTTTCTTATTGGTGATTGATCTTTTAACCTTTCTTATCAGTAAGGGGTTAAATACTATACTATTGTGTATTATATAATTGACAATTAATTTTAAAGCAAAGATTTTGTTTGATGTCAGAGATCTTTCAGAGGATTAAAGGGTGGAAAGATGTCACTCAAGATTACATTTTGGGATGAATAGATATAAAAAACAGCAAAAAGTGAAAATTTTCCTTGCAGAAACTGTAGTTTTGGTGTATTATGATTATGACAAATCATGTGAGGTCTATTTGCCTAAGGTGAGGTATTATCTTCATTAACTTTTTAAGGATAACTCACCCATGGAGAGGATTACGAAGATCCTATTCTAGCCAGATCCTTTCACACAGCCAGTCAATTTGCTCGAAGTTGAACCCAGGCCAAACCCAGTTGTGTTCATTGGTTTTACTGCTCTACCAATGATGGACACTGAAGTCTTGAAAGCTCTTTAAATATTTACAGCAATATCTATTAATTTTAAAGCAAAGATTTTGTTTGATGTCAGAGATCTTTCAGAGGATTAAAGGGTGGAAAGATGTCACTCAAGATTACATTTTGGGATGAATAGATATAAAAAACAGCAAAAAGTGAAAATTTTCCTTGCAGAAACTGTAGTTTTGGTATATTATGATTATGACAAATCATGTGAGGTCTATTTGCCTAAGGTGAGGTATTATCTTCATTAACTTTTTAAGGATAACTCACCCATGGAGAGGATTACAAAGATCCTATTCTAGCCAGATCCTTTCACACAGCCAGTCAATTTGCTCGAAGTTGAACCCAGGCCAAACCCAGTTGTGTTCATTGGTTTTACTGCTCTACCAATGATGGACACTGAAGTCTTGAAAGCTCTTTAAATATTTACAGCAATATCTTGGTTATTATCCTGATTATAAAAAAAGTAATAATTGTGTAATGTATGGTAATTGGTGGAGTTATAAGACTCAAAAGGATAATAGACGTAAAAACATTAATGCATCATGGAATATGTAAGGAATTTGATAAAGTTTTACAGTTTGAGTAAATTTTGATGGGTTTCTTTATATTTTGTTTGTTTATATTTTTTTAATGAATATTTACTATCTGGGAAAAAATCATGTATAGATAATTTGTTAAATTAAATGAAAAGATTTTATATAGTAATAAAAAATAAATGTTTGCTGCAATGTTAATAGTACTCATGGTCTTAATTTTTGAATTTCAAATAATGTTTTAGAGAACCTTGTTGAAAGAAAAATTGGCATGATTTAAAATCTAATCTCTGTTTAGTTTTTGTTTATCGTAGGTGATTATGCTCCTATTTGTTCCAGATAATTAATGTTCTAAATTACAGAAACACACCCATAATTTTTTCATTTGCATCAGTTTAAAAGTACAGGGTGTCCATAATTTATTCACTGGATAAAGATATATTTTAATTAATGCAGGTAAAAATATGTTTTAATTAAATCAGAATAAGAGACAGGAAAAAAAAAAAAAAAGTGAATTTTATTTAGCACTTCTAAAGTATTACTATACTTCAACATGAGCACCATTGTTTGGAGAATATAAAATCTGTTCATGATTTCCCTCCAGAGCTTATTAAGCATTTGCAGAGTCATGGTAGGTATTTCTGTGACGATTAGATTTTTTAATTCTTCAGTGCATGAATCTCTGCAGTATAAACTCACTTCTTCAGGTATCTCCAGGATACGAAGTCAAGTGATGTGACACCTGGAGAATGGAGTGGCCATGAACTTGGTCCAACTCTACTAATTCATCTATCTGGGAATGTTTCATCAAGGAACACATACATGTGTAGGACAGGCCCCATCCTGGTGGGGGGGGGGGTAAGTGCTTGGCTGCATATCTTCTAATTGCAGTGCTGAAAACAATCATAGCATATCAAAGTAATCATCTGAATTAATTAATGACTCAGAAGCTATCGGTCACTTTTTTATAATTTAGTGCACATCAAATGTTAACTTTAGAGGTACCTTGCTCAATTTTCCTTACAAAATATGGATTTTTGACACCTAATCTTGCAGTTATATTGATTTTGAGGACATGAAATGTTTGAGGACAAGAAATTGATCATCATTATATTGATATAGTCAAGAATGTCACGAATGACTTGACCATTAGGTTTGATTTGTTGACAGATCTGCAGTTTATATCTTCAACTGTTCATGAACAACTTTATGAACAGTTGAGCTGGTAATTTCTTTTTGCAGGCTGGTGAGGTGAATGGATTTACTGGAATTGCACACAAAGACATCTTGAATGGTGGAAACATTTTCATCACTGACACTTGGCCTACTTGCACTACCTTTATGTTAACAATGTCCAATCTTTCGAAACTGTTTTAACCATCTTTTGATTGCCCTGTTGGTGGAGGTATATTAAATTCATGTCAAAATTGCCTCAAACTATTTTCAGAGATTTTTATTTCCCATAATCAGGGAAAGCACATTGCTTTTTCAATGCATTATGCCATTTTGTCTGTAAACAAACAAGTTCCCTCTTGCCATTCCCCAAAATTAGAGCAAAGAAAAATTTTTGAACTAAAGATTATATTGATATGAATTACTTCCTGTTACTTCATAAAATTTTATTTCAGCTTAATTTTGTTATCCAGTGATTAAATTTGGACATTTCAAGAAAAAAAGCAGTTGTCTGTCCTTTTTAGGACTATGATTATTGTGATCCGGTGCACATTTCTTTCATTGCAAATACTATATGATATTTAATGTTTCTGTTGAGTAGGAGTAAGAGAAAAAATATTAAATTTATCAATTTTGATGATAGAAAATATTTACAAATAATCTCTTAAACTTAACCCATTCTTCTTTTTGGCTTTTTCCTATTTTGCTTAATAGAGCATGTTGTTTATTTTGTATTTAATTGAGAGAGTCAGTGTGCCAATGCAGAATAATTTTGCTTCTGAAGAAGACATTAGGCACTTCCCCTCTCCAATTTTGTATTTGTCAATTATTAAAGTTGGTGTGCAATACTTCTGCTTTTAATTTTTTTTTTGTAATACATCTTTCGTCTACCAATATATTGATTATGTTTATATTTCACATTTTCTAACACTGTGTTAAACTTTTCTATACTTATGTTGTGTATTAAATTTTGTTAATATATGTTATTTGTTTATGTGAAATATTTCTTTTTTCACACAGGTATGATAATATGGCAGATTTGTATTCTGTTATAAACACTCTGCAGTGTTTGGAAAAAGCATATATTAAAGATTGTGTTACACCAAAAGAGTATGTAGAATTATTTCATGTGTTTATGTATGAGTAAACAAAATCATTATTTAGGTAGCAATGATGATGGGATCTAAAACACCTGACCATGTTCTTAACCCCTTGCCACGGGCGTATATATACATCTTGCTCAGCCGATGCTTTAACTGCCCGGGACGTATATATATGCCCTTCCGAAATACTATCATTTGCTTTACTCTGCTACCCATAAAATTATTCGCAAAGCTTTGGAATGCAACACCACAATGACCTTGACAAAGTATGCAAAGGAGGATACTATTTCAGAGAAGTGTGGGGAGAAATTGAAGAGAGGGGGTACGTCTAAAGCGGTGAAAGTAATGACTGCGTGGTATTGGCTGGTGTTTGAGTAAAACTTTTTTTTTTTTTTATTTATTTATTTATTCTGTGTCCTCCGTTTTTGTTTACTTTTTGTAGTAGGTTCCAGGAATAAAGAAAGATATAACGGAGGTTTCAAACCTATTATCTTTTTTGATGAACTGCTCGTGCTTCATATTGTTACTGAAACTAACCGTTTTGTAGACGAGTATATGAACCCAGGACTTAGAAGAGAAGGGCTAGCTCATAGAGCTTTTCCCCCTGAAGCAGAAAGTAAGAAGTGATGACGTAGCCATGATGACACTGAGCGCGCCAATATAATTCACAGCTTGGAAATTAACGTTTTCGAACCAGCATTTAAAATGAGCTGTGTATGAAAGATAGCTATAATTTGGAAGAGGCAATGTTACTGCTTTATGTATTTATTTTATACTGAACCATTAAAAAATTTAATAATGCTTACTCAATTTTAAAATAATAGATAAAATGTGCTACTCTTTTAACATAAAGTTCCGTGGTTTTTTTTTATTTTTATTTGCAGGTTTTTTTTTATTTAATGCACGTTTATTTCTAATCATTTCTTTATTTGCATGCTAACTGAGAGAATTTTATACTGCTTCTAAGATAACTATAATAGCAGCTATTTAAATCTACTCAAAAAACAACTTTACATCGACATAGGTTTAAACATATATGACATATATGGCAACATTTCTGCTAACCTACGTTTGATTTTTTGCCTAATTGTAAATTTTACATTGTTATAATTCTCTTCCGATTCAATATAATAGATATTTTTTAAATAATTTTGTAATTTATACTTATTTGTAATTTATACTTATTTGTTATTTATACTGTAATATCTATATTACAATTAAATAAATGTATATAAGATTGTTACCTTAATTTTGACCAAATAGCTTTATTCAGAGTACCTAAAACAGTTATTTAATTTTTCAAAAGTGTGAGTAAAGGAAGCAGGTTTTTATGCCAATTACTTTGATGTTTTATATCTATTATATTTTATCTGCTAGAATGCTAATCTTAGTGCACAAATTCTAATCAATAATTAGTTACAAAGGATACAATAAGAATAACTGTAACAAGTACTTAACAAAATTAGTTTGTTAAATACTTGTGTTATTCTTGTTGGTACTATTTTGGTGCTATTCATAATACCGAAGATATTATCCGATTTAACTCATAGAAGTCAGATGCTTTCTTGATTTCCTGTGGGGTAGGAGTATACCTTTTGCGGTACTTCTTGAAAATAATGTTTTCTCTGGAAGCGACTTTTTGTCTCTCATTTCCCTTGACCATTAATAATTTGGTTTTAGTTTGTGACACAATTTGATTTCTTCTCAATCTCTATTTAAAACCTCTTTAATCATATCAAAATTTAAAACAGTTACATCTTCTAAAACAAATCCTCTATCTAAATGCGGTTTCTCAGTAATTTGAGGCAGAGCGCGAAATGAGACCTCTGATTAAAACAAACTGCACATTTTGAAAAGAACCAACTTAATCCAGTTTAGAGTCATAGCAGAGTTTTCAATCTATATGCATTTCATCGAAACTGAGAACGCATATTTTTTCTACAGAATACAAATATTCGCCTTTTTCCTTCTTTAGAGTAAGAACGTTACTTTGAATTCTTGGACTACACTAAAAAATAAAATAAACACCGTTTCTTTAATTTGATAATACTAGGTAAAGATATTCCAATTTTTTTTCTTTCCGAAAATCATAGCTTTAAGATGACAGAGCTCTTATGACAATGCAACGTGAAATATTTTCACTAGTCCACCTGATTTTTTTCTTCTTTTTCAGTAATGCATTAATCTGCATCTTTATAAAAATAGGCTTCAGACATTTTTCCAAATTCTCCGATTTGTGCTCCTCTCCCCCAAATTTCACTATTTGAGATTTTAATTTCTGATACCAATTTCTGTCTAGATGTCGTCCACCTTCTTTGTCGCTGAACAAACATTCTAAAATTTTTCTTCTCTCTATTTTTTAATACTTTGATACAATTTTCTAAGGATATTATTTTGTTCTTCAAATTATCAATGCATTCTTGTTTATCCTTAAACATTCAGGATGATCTACATTTTCATTTGTGAGTTTTATTTCAAAATCATTAAAATTTGATTTATTATTGTCATCATAATTTACTTTCGGCACAGCATTCCATTTCAACAGTTTCTTTTTGTGGCTATCCAAACAAGCGATTTTTCATATCATCTTCATAAACACTGCATAGAAAATGTTTGCTTCAGATTTTTCCGCTCTTCACATTAATAGAATCTTCTCTTTGACATTTGTGTATCCATTCTTTCGTCAAAAGCAAACTCTCATTTGGATCCTTTGGTCCCATGAAATAAAATATCTCATCATCCTTTCATACTTCTGTAAGTGACTACAGCACGTTACTACTCTGCAGTGCAAAAAGCCATATTACGTAAACTATACTTTACAATAAAGAATTTAAAATAAAAACTGACTAAAATTACATATATATAAATTATTTTAAATATATACATTATTAGAAAACAGATATATATATTATTAAAATTAATTTGGGATATGTAACCTCTAGAAAATCGTCTCGCAGCTTAATGAAACTACTGTTTTAAACGCGGGAAATCAGGACAGGTGGCATCACCGTGACTTCAGATTATTTGCCTGTTACGTTCCCCCATTAGGCTCGCATCGGCGAGGAGTCGAACAAAGAAATGAGTTAGCCCTTCTATTTATCCCTGATATGAACCAACACCTTGCAGATAAAAAATCAAGAACATTCAACCAGTGCCATTCAACCAGTTCAGAAGAAATATATGTTTTTTTCAGGCATACTGATTTCACATGTAACACTGAAACCCTGATACTACACTTTACTGGTCTAAAAATGAATTGATCGAAACTCCATTTTAGGGATCTTTTTTATTATAAAAACATTATTTGTATTATACTTACATCTTTTACCATACTTTTACTTAAAACATTAAATTTTGTGCATTCATATTTTTCTTGTATTCTTTATTTTGTGAAAGTAAACAGTTTTTAGAAAGTAAAACTTGCACTTATTTTCCCCCTAATTCATCGCATAACTATGCGCGCCTGTGTGAAAAACCATGGCACTGGGAAATTAATCTTGTAGGTTTTCCGCAGCAGTTAAGAGGTTAAATGGCAAATTAATGTGTTCACCTTGTTAGAATGTGCAAACCAACAGTATCATGTTATGTAACTTTCTCAGAAATTTAAGTCTGTATCTTCTCTCCTTTTTTCCTATGTAATTCCTGCTATTATATGAGCATATGCCATACTATGGCACCAGTTTTTATATCAAATTTTCTTTCTGACAAAAAATTTCATGTTGTTTCTAAAACACATGGTCTTAATTTTATGCGTAATTATTTGCTTGAATTTATTTTTTCCTTTTTTTTTCCCTCTCTTTCTCCTTTTTTTTTTGGGGGGGGGGAAGTGTATGTGTTCTATAAACTGATTGTTATTAAGTTGCATAAAATAACTGTTTTGTCATCTGTAGCAGTGAAATTAAAGAATTTTTTACTTTCTTAATAAATCATGAGATAAAACTAAGTTGTAAGTTGTTTCTTCTGATATTCTTTAGATAGAGTTTTTGGAACCCTGAAGGAACAAAACTTTTGATTGTTTAATTAATTTTTGTCAACTTAGCTGAGAATTCTTGATATGCCTTGAAAGAGGACAGAAAGTAACAAAATTATAAAATGCAGTCTTAATGAATTTGCCTATCAACAATCATCATTAAATGATCTATTTTTTAAGAGCAGCAGTCTGCGTCTGCCACTGTATTTTCTATTATGAATATGGTAAAAAGTCTGAAATCTAAATGACCGACCTTCAAAATGATCTAAAATCCAAACCTTTGGCAGACTACCAGCAACTTTTTTTAAAGGAATGATCAATAAGTTGGCTCTTTTCTTATAGATTGGCACAGAAGCTTACCATGCCCTTTGTTATTCAATTACTAATATTAAAAAAAAAAAAAGTTTAGAGATTGCTGCATGAATCATTTCTCAAGCTGCCATGAGTTATACAATGATGACGAATTTTTTTTGAGGGGGGGGGGCATTTTTTTGCTTGGCGTACATTTCAAACCAAAGCATTCTACATTATCATTAATTTTACACCTACTGAATAATTTACATCCCAAATTTACTAATCTAGCAAATCATTACTTATTAGTTTTAACTTTCATCATTGCATAACGCATGATAGCTTGAGAAATGATTCATGCAGCAATCTCTAAACTTTTTTTTTTTTTTTTTTTTAATATTAGTAATTGAACAAACAATGGGCCTAGTAACCTTTTGTAACACCCCCTTTCCTGAGAAAAAAAAAAAAAAAAATTCTACATGAAAAGAAAGTAAAGGCAGCTTGAGTTGCCATTGGCAGGAAGTGTGCCATAATAAATAAATTTAACATAACTTCTAAAAAAGCCTAGTGATAAGTTGCTTAAATTTTTTCACTTAATGCAAATGCATGCACATACACATAAAAGAGGAAAAAGTAGATTTTGGTTTAATCATAGATTTTTTTGTTTTGGTTATATTCTATTATTATGAAATCATCTAAATTTCATGAAATATCTAATGCATAAGATGTAATAATTTTAACTGCATCAACAGTGACTATGATTGTAACTCATATTGCTTTAATTTTCTTAGACTCGTATATTTTTCCTGTTTCTCATACCACATCTCAAATTTTTGTTTTTGCATAATAATGTAATGTTCTCTAAGCAGTTTTACAATTTAATAATTATGAAAATTATATGTTGTAAATCATAGTCTCAATTAATAGTCATTGATTGTACAACTTTATGTTATGTATGAGCATATTTTTGAATACTTAAGGTATACTGCTGCTTGTTCCAAGCTTCTTGTACAATATAAAGCTGCATTCAAACAAGTTCAAAGTGAAGAATTTCCAACTGTTGAAGTATTCATGAAAAAATTTCGAGTAAGTAAAAATTTTAATAATTCCACTTTATTTTCGATATTATTCTGCTTGGATTTATGTTTATGTTATACAATGCTGCTAAAAAATTCAGCTATTGAACCAGTATTTTATGTTAAAATATGTTAGCTTTTCTAATGTTAATTGGATTTTTATTTATGTTTAAACTTGATATATATTTATATATGGTGCTTTCTGCTTATCTGCATCGCTACAAAAGTTATAATTCATTGATGACTGTGAGCTGGTGAAAAGCAATTGTGTGGCTGTCTCTGCAGCTCGCGAGTACTTTTCTATTCATAAACAATAATAAAAATAAGTATTTTATAAGAAACAAGAATGTTTAGTGAAATGATGATTAAATATAAAGTATATAATTCCATGTTTACTCAGACATGTGTAGTAGCATATTAAAGTGTGTATGTAAGTGTGTTCTATTTAATACTTAACCAAGGGTGTAGGTTATTACAAAGTACCTTTATATGTATATATATATATATTGTACAAATTTAAATTTTAAATTAAAGAATAGTAAATTTTATCGCAAAAATTTTTTTGTACAGTACAGTTCAAGCACCCTTATTATGATCAGTTAAAAATTCCATGCATGTTAAAAAAAAATGTCAACAATTGCTCCCTGACCAACAACTTCAGGTTAAACCATGTTTTAAATTTGAAAAAACTTTAGGTAACGTGATAATTAACCACCACAATGTAATAGATGATAGCATATGAAATTGCCAGCTTCCTGTTTACAATAAATTTGTAGATCATTTTTACCAACATATTATCACAGGAGATCTCAATATCACTGAAGATGTGCAACTGCGAGAACTCATGCAACTAGCTACCAAATTTCGTCCGACTTTCAGTATTAACAAACACTTTTGCTTAAAACATTTCACCAATGATCTTGATAAATTCATTATTTTGGCTAGTAATAGCATCAACTTGACTACGACTACATTTCTTGAATGGAAAGCAGCTCTTATTAAAGATTTTAAACTTGCGCTCTTCAAGTTGACTAGTTTCAGTCATATCCACAATAAATGTCATCTTAGAATCTCATATTCATAAACTACAAGAAAACTTTATCATCACAAAGGTTGACAAAGCTAGCAAAAATTTCAGTGTCATTTGAAAAAAAAAAAAAAAAAAAAAATACAACATTCTGCATAAGGAATTGCATAGCACTTGCACCTATCAAAAAATCTCTACCAGCACTAAGATATTTTTCAATAAATTTAATGCACTTCATAAAAGACTTTATATCCGTCCCTGCAAATTTAATAACAGGTTTGCTAATCTCTATGCACTTCCAAAATTTCGTGACTCCTGTTAAGTTCAGATTCAATGGTACCAGAAGTTATTTAAAGCAGATAGATTATCTCTTTGCGCAAAAACTTCATCCCATTCGAGACATAATCAATAATTATGATTTTAAAGATCAACATTGCAACTGGATCATATCAAGCAACGAACAAATTCTTAAAACCTTGAATTCACTTAAAATAGAACATATCCAATGCTACAACTTGGAGAACCTGTATACTACTTTACCACTTGAAGAAATTTATAGCAGCTTACTTACTCTTCCTTATTTATTTCCCCAAATTACTACAATATTATCTACTGAAAATTGGCAACTTTTTCTTTCAAGTGTTCTTTTCAACAATTATATTCAATTTAATAACAACATCTTTAAACAAATACAGGGAATACCTATGGGTGGCAACTTTTCAACAGCAATCTGTGAATTACTCCTTTTCACACAAGAATTTACTTTTGTACGTTCACTAAATATTGAAGATAAAAAATATTACCAGCACATCTTTCGTTATGTTGATCATGTAATTGCCTTTAGCAACTTCAACAAAATAGAAAAAGCTAATATCTACCCTTCTTGCCTACAACTTAATACTACAAATACTGTGAAAAATGATATAGTTTACCTTGATTTGCATATTCTAGATTACAATTTTTTGAAAATCTACGATAAACGAAGAGATTTCAACTTTCCTATGCTTAAATTAACTAACTGGAATTCCAATATTTCTAAAAGGGTCATAATCAATACAATTAACGCACAACTGCTTATATTTAAAAGAATCTGTAATACTACAAAACACCTCCAAAAAGAAGTACTTTACTTACTTTATTCCTATGCTTAAATTAACTAACTGGAATTCCAATATTTCTAAAAGGGTCATAATCAATACAATTAACGCACAACTGCTTAGATTTAAAAGAATCTGTAATACTACAAAACACCTCCAAGAAGAAGTACTCTACTTTGTAACTATCTTGCAGAACAACCTAATTCCTACAAAAGTCATTAAAAATGCTTTAAAAAAAGCTGGCATTAACTTTTTATTTTAGATTTTTTTAGTTAGATAAGGAAATTTTATATTTAAAACCCTATGGGACTGTGTAAAGTGGATGGCTGATTCAGAGAATCTAATGTGTGAATGTAAAATTGATTCCTCTCACAGCTTCAATTTTACTCTTAAAATTTGGCACGGTACTTCTAATTCTATTCTTAAATAGATTTTAATTTTTTCTGGCCATATCTATCCTGTTATTGATTTTATGGGCCATTTCATTTTTGATAGCTTGATAGCCCTCTAACTTGAAGAATTATGACTTTACTTAACAATTTACTATTTTTTCAAATTTATTCTTACTTTCTGTGGCCATATTTTAACTTTTTGTAAAATTAGTCATTTTTCTTTCGCCTACGCCCAAATTCCTTAAAACTTGTCGAGCAAGTTGCCATCTTGAACAATTTCGTCATTCTGCAGCAAATTGCCACCGCCCTCACACTGAGTCAGGCTTATTGCAACGGTCAGTCACTTTTCATTGGCTCTTTCATCATGACATTTCTTTCCCTTTTACGTCATCCTGTCTAGTTGGTTGGCTCCTTCCTTTCTCAAGGCTTTCGTCCGTTTTGAGTTAGCACAGGTCCAGCAAGAAGACATCGATGTTCCAGGTCTGTTTTAAAAGTTTTTCTTTACCTTGTATTGATTTTTGGTCATAGCAAGACCCTTTCAATAATGTTATAATCTTCTTCACTTTTTATTTTAATGTTAATTTTCTTTAATTTAATTTTTTAGCTACATTCACAAAATTTAAACTGTATAAGCTAGTAGGTCCTCCCTAAAAATCTTATAAATTTGAGTAATAGCAAATTGCTATTTGTTTTATTTTGTACATTGTCATAACCAGGCCATTATGTATAGTTTTTTTCTTACACCTTAATGTGTTTTTTCAAGCGGACGCGTCAGGAAATGGAACAGAGAATTGAGACTAAAGTTTACGACTAAGTCTTTTTCAGTTAATATTCAAAAAGAGTTTCGTATTCAGTTTCAATTGTCTGTTTCGATGAAATGCGATATGGAATTAGTTGGATTCGAAAATCATTATAAAATTTTCTCTGAAGAGTCAGTAATGAGATTCGAATTGGCCTAGTCTACCATTTACTGCTTTTTTGTTTTTGTATTTTTGCTTAAGTCTTATGTCACACTTTTATTCCATTGTTTGAAGTTTGCCTTACCTTGATCAACATATTACTTACAATTAGTTTTGAATTTTATTTGTAAGTATTCTAGTGATTGATATTGTTTATTTAATATTTACACTTTTCATTGCACTTTATTTTACTTATGTTAAAATTTGTCACGGGAACCACAGTATCTAAGCTACTTTTTAGTGTAAGCACTAAATTTTCTTTTAACTTATATATTGTACAAATATATATATACAGTGTCTCAAAAAAGTGATGGGACACTTGTGCTTTACAAAAGGAAACTGCAATAAAATAAATTTAAAAAACATGTAAAATTTTTTGTGGGTGTGTTTCATACTTAAATTTAGTAACAATTATTACATAACATACATTTTCTCAAAATATTAAAATATTAATTTAATAAAAATACAATTGTTTAGAACGGAGCAAAAAATGGCTCACTTAAGTGATTGGATACTCACGTAAGTGATGGGGCACTTACTTTTCCATCAAATATTTATCAAAAATTTTACTTGTTAAAAGGTTTTAATATTTTGTTGGATTTCCTTTTACTTTTAAAACATGATTTAATCTTCTTGGGATGGATTCGACTAATTTTTTTGTGATTTCTGGAGTGGTTTTACCCCATTCTTCTTGAAGCACCGATTTTAATTGTTGTTTTGAAGAAATGGTGTGTTTGCGAATTCTTGCTTCCAATTCTTGCCAAATATTCTCTATGGGATTTAAGCCTGGAGATTGTGGGGGTGTTTTTATTATTTCAGGACAGTTATACAGCAGCCAGAGTCTAACGTTCAAAGCACTGTGCTTGGGGTCATTGTCCTGGTAGAATTTAAAATCGTTATGAAGGTTCAATTTTTGTGCTGAAGATTTCAAATTTTGATTTAAAATGTCAATATACTTGTACTGATCCATTATACTGTCAATAAAAACAAGATTACCAACTCCAGCGGACGACATACACCCCCATACCATAACTCCTCCTCCACCATGTTTTACTGTTGGCACCAAGTTCTGTTTGCGAAATTCTTCCCTGGTTTTTCTCCACACCAAGATTCTACCGTCAGAACCAAATATATTAAATTTACTCTCATCAGCAAATATAACTTCATTCCAGTAATCAGAATTCTTATTTATGTTGGATTTTGCGAAAGCCAGTCTGAGTTTTCTATTCTTTTCACTTAGGAAGAATTTTTTCCTGGCTGCTCTACCGTGATATCCAGTAGATCGAATTACTCTTCTAATAGTCTCAGAATTAACAATTACTCCATATAATGCTTGTAAATCAGCAGCAACTTTAGGAGCACTCATTCTTGGATTTTTTTTTAATATTTCGAACGATAATTCGCTTTATTCCATTGGATAACTTTGATGGTCGGCAAGGTCTTCTTATTATGAATCATATGATATTATTTTTACTAATACGTTTAAATCTATGATTGATGATATTGAACTGTTGAATGACTGAAGTTAACTGTTTCAGTAGTTTCTCTAATAGATTTTCCACGTTCAATATGCAAATTAATAACTAATTTTCGAATTCCAGGCAAAGTTTCTCTTCGTTTAGCATTCATGTTTGCACAGAGCTAAAAAACACAAAAATTCCATAACAAACTGGAGAGAAATACTGCAGACGATTTTATAAATTATTGGCAATTGCTTTTGAGTAAAAATAAATACCCCAAAAGATATTTTTATTGCTTACTTCAGACAATTTTTGTTGCATAGTACGTAGTGTCCCATCACTTATGTGAGCCATTTTCTGCTCCGTTCTAAACAATTGTATTTTTATTAAATTAATATTTTGAGAAAATGTATGTTATGTAATAATTGTTACTAAATTTAAGTATGAAACACACCCACAAAAAATTTTACATGTTTTTTAAATTTATTTTATTGCAGTTTCCTTTTGTAAAGCACAAGTCCATCACTTTTTTTTTGTCCCATCACTTTTTTGAGACACTGTATATATATTTGCTGTATAATTACATATGTTAATATATAATGTTAAGGTTAATTAAAATGCCTATAAGGGGAAAAAAGCATACTGGTTTGATAATTCAAAATTCCTGATTGTAATTTCAGATGCTCATGAAATTAATAATGCAGATTAATCATAAATGTTATTTCATGTGACCAGAGAATCATCCACAGGTGATATTGTCAAGTATCAAATAACATTTGTCATGCCCAGATAAACCATGTTCACATAATAAGATTTGAAAGTGATGAATATAATTTCTCTGCATGAATATGCATATTACACATATTTACAATGCATAAAAATACACACACATGTGTGTATATATATATATATAATTTATTATTACAAAAGTTTTCTATAGATCATCTCCAAGAAACATAAATTTATTTAATGCAATGAATTACTGGAATAAATTTGAGACAGTATTTTAAGTAATTTAGATTTCTATTGTAGTAAAAATATTTTATTAAGCTGTATAGAAATATTATTTTAAATCATAAAAATTCTAAAATATAATATTAAAATGTAAAATTAAAAGTACTAAATAGGTAGCCATTGTTATTGACTTGTCAAGGGGATTAAACGAGCCCATTATCAGATAAGTGTTTCGTCTTTTTTCTAAGTAAGGATCAAATTAGTTGTTTTACTAGAGTTTAAATCATAGGTTATGAACAAAGCTCAAAAAAGAGAAAGATAATTATTTTTCTTGAACCAAAATACTTGTCATAAACAAACAAACAAACACACACACACACAAAAGAAAAAAAGAGTAAGTTTTTCTTTTTAATTTAAGGTACTTGTTTATGAACTGAATTAAGTGAGATCCTCACTTTAGAAAAGAACACTCACACTCTCACAGTATAGTAAAAAGAATAAAACAATTAAGATTGGTACAAATTAGTATAAATTGAAATATGTATTAAAGAAGATATTTGAAAACAATAAAAATATGTACAAATTAATACATTCTTTTAGATTTAAACGCAAAATCAAATGTAGGTATTTTAATACAAATTTAGGTACAAATCAATGCCAGAAAGGAAATTAAAATTAACTGACTTGTTTGCAAAATTTGAAATGAAATGTCTGTAAATGTACTCAGTGATGGAATACATTAGGATTGTCATATTTAGTGGGAGAAGGTAGTGGTTCGTGGCATGTTGTACTGTGAGATATTGAAGCCATAGTTGGCAAGCTAAACTTATTGTTTAGTTAAAGTTGTTGTTAGAGATTAATTTCTTATTCTGAGACTGAGAAAGATCAAATAGGCCCATGAGTTAGTAAAAGAATATAATGCCAGAAAAAACTTGTAATTTACATTATATACTAATTATTACAAAATTTACAAATTTTTAACCAGCAGACAACCGATTCCTCCTTTTGCAGGTTTAGGAATAAATTATCATAATCCTATTAGCCAACAGATTTAAATTGAGCATTTAACGCCTGCTTTTCTAAGACAGAAATTAATAAATTTATCTGGTACCAAATCATATTATAGAACTTGAATAAGTATTAATATTTCTTATTGTACAAATATTTTTGCTTCGTTGTATTTGACTAATTACTGTGTCACTAATTACATTTCTGGAAATGTTTTAAGTGCAATTAATTTATTAGTTGCAAATTTGAAGTTCCTGGTTTTGTCATAGAGTTTAATTTGTGTGTAGTTAATTATCTGAAGATCTAGAAATTTGATAACATTTTGTGAAGAGTTAGTTTTATTAAGAATAAGGCTTTTTTAATGAATTTGGGAATTTTCTATTTTGTTAACATTATTAAAAGTGTTCTTTTTGACATTTATTTTTTATAGCTAGATTGTCCTGCAGCTATACAACGCATAAAGGAAGATCGGCCTATCACGATAAAAGATGATAAAGGCAACACTAGCAAATGCATAGCAGATATTGTATCTGTGAGTATAATTCAATACTAAATTATTTATTCAAGAGATGATATATAGCTGTTCATTAAGTGATATATTTCCTTTTGAACAGCAAATAAGTATATAGTTTTTTTGTCCCTGGAAAAAAGTGACTTATCTATCAAAATGAGAAGCAGAATTGTAATACAGTCAAATACTGAAAATGCATGGACCTAAAATCCGCGTTGCCTCTCAAAACATAAACATTCAGTTTATAAGTTCCAGAAACCGCAACATGAAGTGCGAAATATCGAAGAAAAAATACTTACTGAATAATGACATCATAATAGCTGAATATTAATGAGTCATAACGGAAATACCAAATTATTGACACCATGATAAAAGTTTTTTTCCATCCAATCTGCATCGAGGTAAAAAAGCAGACAATTCACTCAACTCTTCTTTCAAGTTCACAATTCACGTTGTCGTATTTTCTAAGCTCTGTTATTTCACGAGATTGTTTAGTACTGCCTTTTTTTTTCCCCCAGATATTTTGTGGATAAATTAAGAATATTTTAAATTTCAGCACTTTTTAATACGACAGGTAAGAAATGCACTCATAATTTTTCTGCTTGCAATATTGAAAAACGTAAACCCCTTGCATTGACGGTAATGCAAAAAGTGCAATTTCTGCAAAAGATGGAGGCAGGTGCTACTCCTTGGTTTATAGCAGAATCGTATGGAATTGTGACACGGACTGTGTATGATACTGAAAAATAAAGAAAAGCTGTTAAAATTTTACAGCAACAGTGATTCTAACACCGGAATCCGAAACTGGAAATCTTTGCATGAGGCGAAATCATCAAACCTCGATGCTGTGTACATATAATACAGTGAATAATATAATCAATTTATATATGTAATAATAATTTAATGCATATAATAAATTATTGCAATACTGTATATAATCATTTAATTAAATGTATTTAATACGCTTTATCATTTTGCACTTTGAGTCTGAATATTATGATTTATCTTTTCTGTCCTGAAATCCGCAAAATCCTAAAATCTGCACAACATCTGGTCCCAAGCTTTGTGGATTTCTGGACTTCTACTGTATTCTCATTCATGCTTTTGAATGTACATTGATGCATTTTATATATCTCCTGTTTTACTGAGCCAATTGTCAAAATTTAATTTGTGTTTTCCATTTCTTGAAAGCACGACTTAGCATATATTTTAGATTTATATATAGTGTTATTCTAACCTAGGTATTTTGACACAAAATCGGACTTTTTCTGAAATAACATACCAATTTTTTTCCATATTTCGATTCTACAACTCAAATTTTGCCTAGATATTAAATTTTGTAATTTTTGGCAAGAAATTAAAAAATTTATCTTTGCAAATATTTTTTTTTTTTTTTTCAGTTTGCATCAAGAATAATTCACTTGGTGAACTTCTTAATGTATAGGAACTTATTTTCCTTCCTTTTTTTTCATTGTCCACGAGCGGGAGGAAAAGTCATCGTTCACACTTTCATATAATTTTAACAAAGTGCATAAACCACATTTTCATTAGTATCACTTTAATAAATACGCCAAATTTCAAAACATGCCAAAATGTAAATTTACGTGTATCTTAGGAAGGTTTGAATAACAAACTCTATTTTTTTGCAAGTATGCTTAGAAATACATCTACTTTAAAATGATGGTAAACATTTTATAGGTTATAATTCAAAATGATTTTTGAAAAATTATTTTAAAATGTAAATGTAAAAAATAAATCATAAAGAATGGGCAAATTTTATTTGAAATAAATCTAAATTTCGAAATGTGAAAGAAAGAATTAAATAAGTTTAATAAAAAAAAAGAGAGATTAATAAATATATATGTACTAAATTCAATTAACATGGTGGAGCTAAAAATTTGAGAGCTAATTTTTTGAAAACTACTTGTGCAGTTTTTACTAAACTTGACACTTTGGCATAATTTGAGTTGTAGAATCGAAATATGGAAAAGAATTGTTGTGTTATTTCAGATTATGTCCTATTTTGTGTCAAAATACCTGTGTTAGAATAATGCTATATATAAATCTAATATATATCTTAAGTTTTGCCTCCAAGATATGAAAAGTGCAAGTTTCGACAATCAGTACAGTAAAACGGGAAATTTAGAACTGGCTTTTTTTCTTTTTCTTTTCCTTTTTTTTTTTTTTTTTTTTTTTTTTTTTACTTCCTTGTACGAAGTAAAAAGGAAGTATTGTAATCGCGAAAAGTTTCAGGCAGCACATTTCAACGAAAATATCCATTTTGACCTCTATCGAATGCAATTTAACGATGTTTTTGTGTCATATCTGTAAGTAAGGACAGAATAAAATACTCTTTTCCTTCAAAAAAATTCTAAAACTGCTTTAAAATTAATTCTGAAGAGAATTTTTCATGGCCTCTGTATGAACGTATGTACGTACGTATCTCGCATAACTCAAGAACGAGTAGCCTCAGAACGTTGAAATTTTGTATATAGGACTGCTATAACATGTAGATGTGCATCTCATATTTTGGTTGCAATCGGCAGCACCAAACGTATATAAATATATATATCCATTCTATTACCCGGCTCAGTGATCTCAGTTTCTTTACTCTTATATGTTTGTAAATTGTACATTTTTGCTTTTAAAAATGATTGAATTATGTTGTTTTTATCTTCCGGTTAAGGATTTTATGCCTTTAGTAAATCTGTGTGCAATATTTTTAGAATTATCAGCAATTTTAAAGTTGTTTAATTGCTGCTAAGCCTGTTTTTAATGGCGGCCATTGATGTTTACATTTGAAACAGGAGAATAGTGGATTTGTTGCCAATCTAGAGAAACTTAGCTTCGCAACAACAAAGATAGCGCATTCGTTTATTATTGCCAATTAAATCATGCTTAATTCTTTCTGGAATTTTTTCGAGGAAATAAGCGTTTGAAATTTACTTCGTAATTTTTAATATAGATATTTTGAGTTTTTATGTATTTTTACCTTCTCGCGAAGTGAGAACTGAATTAATTAAATGAAAAATACTCAATCGTCTGTGAAAAACTGTTTCTGTTTTGTTTTGTTTGCTTAATTTCTTTTATACATAGTTCTAGCTTTATTATAGTATTTGAATAGAACATGTGGCAACGATTAGATAATTCTTTAAATGATATACATTTTGTGCATTCTGAGTATTATTCTGAGTATTCTGAAATTTAATACTGTTAAGTAAACCTAGTGCCAGAGTGTCGCTATGGTAAACAAAGTGAATTTTAAAGAATGCATTTATTCTATTGTGGTTTATGTGCTGTCGGCGAAGTAGGTTTAATTCAATCTAGTAAGTTTAAATAAAATGCAAGAAAAATGCGTATAATTTAATATTCCGTACAAGGAAGTCATGTGGTGTACACATCAGATTTTTTTTTTTTTTTTTTTTTTTTTTTTTTTTTTTTTTTTGTGCAAAATGTACATATAGGGTAACATCTGACTTCCCTCCTTTTTTTGAAACATGCTTAGTATGCTAATGTAGCCATTATGTTATCATTTTTCATATTATATAATAATTTCATATTATATATTTGTTTTAAAATGTCTCAATGATCTATTCATTATATACATATAATTAATGAAAAGGATATATTTGGTATAATAATAAAGAATAAGAAATAATGGATATATTATGTTAAATTTTGATGTCTGAATACACAGATATTAACCCGAAGGGAAGACCCGAGAAGGGGATATTGAAGAAAATGATTCACATTCTTTACTTTCCAGTGTGTAGATTGCTTACTAGATATTTTCCTAAATTTATACTCTCTGATGTTTGTTCATCAAAGAGGAAGTCAGAACAGGACAAAGGGTTAGCAGAGAGACTTGATTTTATTGCAAGCAATATAATTGCATAATTTGAAAAAATTTCAGATGTATTATACTAATGCGGATTTTTCTTATCTATCTATCTATATATATATATATTATACACACACACATAATTTATTTACTAATGGATTATTGAGTATATTATCTACTTAGAGAAAGTTAGTAGAATTGTAGTTGAATGAAGTAACTTAGAAGTATTTAAAATTGAAATGGAAACTTTTAAAAATGAAAGCTTAATCGAAAAACCAAGTAATTATTATCATTGATTGGAAATTGGTTGACATTTCAAGGACCAATTTCCAATTACACTGTTTTTCTGATGTCAGAATAACGGGTTGCTACCTTTGGCAGTATTCTCACGGAAGTGAAAATGGAATTTTTTGCCAAAGAGAGTTGACGCTAATGACCCGGGTAACCATAGCAACACCGCATTAGGATTGAAATAACACAACCCTTAAGCTATGAACACTTCTCGAATACTGAAGAATGGAAAAAGACTTCATAGGGGGGTCTATAGGCTTTTTTCAAAGCAGGAAGGATATGCATTCAGTGATCGTCTTTCACTTGTGCAATGTTAAGAGCTGTAATGAATTAATACTTTCATTCATTGCCTTCTGTAGATTTAGTAAATTTCATTTCCAATATTTAAAAATGCTGATTTGCTTTTCGATCAGATAAACTCTAGTATAACAGTTATTAATAATCAAAGTTTTTTTTTTTCCTTGTGTTACATTGGTAATACTTTTATTCTTGTCTTATTTAGGAATTTTGATTTGCCTATTCTGCATCGGACGTTATAAAATTTTTACCACATTAAAAATAGTAGAAGCTGTAAAATAAAAATATAATTCAATCGTTTTATAGCCAAATTTTTTGTATAACATAACTTAAGGTGACCACCTCTTAAAATGACCAGTCTTTCTGAAAATATACATAAAGCATTACTTTTAAACAATCGTCTTCATAGAAAGCCAAATCTTTTAGACACACTGAAGATTTTCTTAGAAAGGCTATATTCTATTCTGTAAATTTCTTCAATTTAAATTATATTCGGCATAGCTAGAACATTTGAAGCCCTGGGCGGACTCTGAATGTGTCTGCCCAGGCAGTCTTTGAATTTCTTGCTTAAATAAATTTATAAACATATTTG